CACACAAACTTTCAGAAACCATGCTTACCTACTTTGTTTTGTTTCTATAATAATAATAACCCTTTTAGATGTGTGATTTTTAAACTTAAAAATAATTTCAGCTCGATTGGTATTAGTTAATTTTTAAGATATCGTCACAACCAATACAAGTATACTTATGTAGGTACTTATGATAAAAGCGCATACAATTTTTTTTTAATACATTGTAATTAGATAAATTTAAATGTTTATTTACTAATAAATTTTCACTGCTTACGTAAGTTTCATACTTTACCCTACTATGTTAATATTTTCTGAATACACATTTGTGCAGGATTTAATTAGCAAATTTACGGTGCATATAATAAAATCTATAAATAACAAACTAAAGTCGGAATTTTTATGAGAACAAATTAAAAAATCCATTTAAAAAGGTAAATATATTTAAGATTATTTTTAGCAACATAAGTAATAAAAGCTTGACGTGATTTGCATAGATAGTAACATATGCTATTTTTAAAAACTTTTGTTTTTTCAATTAAAATGAATTTTTGAAACTTTTACCATTTTTTAAACTTTTTTAATTTTTTTGTTACTTTTTTGGCTTATTATTTAAATAACTTAATTAAACAATCTATGTTTTTTCAATTAAAAAAATATATCCAAGGTTATTTATAAGAAACATTAAAAAAATAAAAAAAAGCATGGTTATGGTTAATAATATTTATTTATATAATCAAATTAAAAAAAGATAATTTTGATCCCGGTGCATTCGCCATTTTTCTAACTAAGGGTAAAATAAAAAAATTTCTACTCCCACCTTTAAAACGCCCTTTATCCTACATGTTTCCATGACACTAAGTGACCTTTTAAATACACATTGACAAGTAGTGGCTTTATGGCGCTTTAGTCACGGGCTGAAGTTAGCAACAGGTTTTTAGTCACGGGTTGAAGTTAGTTTTAAGTTAGTTGACAGTTGTCAAATGTCATACAATCGTTAAAATAAAGTGCCTTTCTTGTAAAATAATACTAAATGTAAAAATTATTTTATTATCTCAATACAAAAATACAAAAGTGTTAAATAGTGTCTCAACGCCAAAATTTGAAAAGTTTATATGAACATTGTACTGACCTTTTAATTTCGCCGGCAGTAAACTATAACTTAAATTCGGGCACGGACTCCACTGTAAAGTGCTCATAAAACATTTTCTTTACTTTCACTGCGAAAAACCGTCAATTTTCAAGAAATACATTTCGATTTATAACCTTTATAATCTGTGTTTATAAAATATAAAAATTTGACATTTGACGGTGACACAGATTCCCCTATTGTTTCATAGATGGCGCACTATACAAATTTTTGATTTAAATCATTTTAAGATAATAATAATTATTTGTCGTAGAAAAAGTATAGTATGCACCTCGTTTATAAAATGGCGTTTATCAAACTTAATACATAATATACTATTTTTCAAAGAATCAAGACTTTTTTATATCTATCATCATAACCTTGTTATTATTAACCATTTTTTTAAATGTCATTAAAAAATTGTTTTCTATTATGTTAAAATTAAAATAGAATATAAAACGTTTAAACATTTTCATTTGAAATTTAATTAAAGGAAAATTCTAACGTGTTATTAAGATCACACTTTGTTTTTATGTCCTTGTTTACGGGAGCAAAGTTTAGTGTTATACTTAATTAGAAAAATATGTAAAGTACACAACTGATTTTTTATTCTGTAAAGCGCTAAAATGCAACAGGTTTTTAAGTGGTGTATTTACAATATTTGAACTTAACGTTTGCGACTGTCGACAAAATCATTATCACGATTTTGTTAAAGGATTTATTAATTTGCATTTGGTTTTTATAGGTTAAGTTATATTTGGTATAAAATTTAGTATACTATAATTTTAATTGGTCGTTAAGGAAATATACTTTTATTTTCTGGTTTTAAGTTACGAGGCAAAAATATTACATGACCAATTATTATGAAATAGTAAACTAGCGACGAAAACGAGCCCGACATTTTTTGCACATTTTAGTAGTTAAATTAAGCCTTATATTAAGCTTATTTTAAGTCTTTCAGTTATGACCTACGCATAGATAGATGTAATTTGTTAAAAGATGTAAACAAATAGATCAATTTTGTAATCTACCTAAGAAAGTCTGAGACCAGGATACTGAGAGATTTTAAATATTTCTTCAAAGTAATTTTTTAATAAATTTTGAGAAAATTTGATAGTTTGAACTTCCAGGGCAGGAAAAATCTTTATAATTTTAGTTTGATTTGTGGCATAATAATAATAGTAAATAAATAAAAAAGCTTTTTTACTGGATTTTGTTGCTGGGACAAGCCAGGATACTGAGAATTGGGCTGATTCGCCGTAGTGTACACTCCAAAAGATTCAAGTTTAAGATGAATGTCAAAAATGACTAATTTAATAGTTATTAGTGGCTGCTTTTTCACTTGTTCCATGGTTAACCATGGAATACCATGGTATCCCAAAATTTAAAAGCCAATTCTTATGTAAAATTGTCCCCTGAATCCGAAAATACCGTCAAAAATTATGAAAGTGGAGCAGTTTTTGAGATATAGTCAATTCCATATTAAATGGAAAATTGACTATATATCAAAAACTGTACAAATTTTGTAAAACAATAATTAAGGTGGTTATGAAAAAAATTGCTATACGTTATAACGCAAGTGACATTTTGCTTTAGTTGTTTATTTAATGTATACTTTATAAAGTTAAAAATAGTATTTTAAAATGAAAATTAAACCGAAATTTAAGTTAAGCCATGAAGAAAATCGAAAGAAGGTATGTGCTGGCTGTGGAGACAAAATTGTTTTTGGTCATCGAAAAATTCAGAGTTTAGGGTTTCTGAGAAAATATAAAAATTACTGCAGACTTTTTCAAACGAACACTTTAACATAAGTGATTCAAAATTACCTACTTCAATATGGTAAAAACGGTATTTTTGCATAGCCACAATTGCCAAATTTTCAAAATTTAGAAATTGCTAGAGAATTTCGCGGCAGCCAAGAATGTATGTGCTTTATCTGCAAAATGGCAAGGTATAAAGGGCATACAAAATTATTAAGGGAAGAGGACGGACGAACGAACTAAATTTTTGATATGCTCTTCCTTTCTAGGGGATATCGCTAAATGTAAGAAGCATGTTTGTACAGAGACTGAAGAATTTAAAAATACTGTTTCCATGTTAAAAACAATTCCATGTAAAACCCAAGAAAAAGTTTTACTGAAAATTTAAGGCAAGCATTAATCGATTTTGCTTCAAAGAGTCGTTAGTTATTTATTAGTTTTGTATTAGGTACCTTAAAACAATAAATAAGATATTGCAAACTGTATTTTACATTATTTTGTATTTATAATGTAATTTATCCATATTTCAGTCATGTATCTGCGAAATTGTTAAAAACATTTGATAATGGTACTAGAGTATTTTATCGAAATGGCATAAATACTAAGAAATATGCAAAACTTTAATAAAGGATCAGCTGGGATTTTGATAAATACATTTTTGTGTTACCAAAAGAGTCTATAATCAGATTATGCCATCAGTTTTGGTTGGCATTTTTGTTCGTCCTATACTTTAGTTTTGACCACTGTGTACAGTAACAATTGATCATTTATTTTTAACAACAATGTTTCAACAAGTATTTTTATAAAACATTAAAAGATAAAATCTATTTCAGTACATAAAAAGTTATCTACTTTATATATGTAAGTGGATTAAATAATTATAGAACAATAACACCTACGGGTTTAAGTAAGGTTTAAATTTAAGAATTTTAATAAAAATATCAATTATTAAATCAAGTAAAAATAATATGTATATTATGTCATATTAGGAGAAGTAATTAATACTAAGGTTTTTTTTTAACAAATTGTCATGAAATACGTCTAATAGTCATGTCAAGCTTATCTCTCTTATTTGGTTTTTTTCCATAGCAACCGCTATTATTTTTTTTTAAGTTTTTGAAAACTGAAATAAAAGTGGTTATCAATTTGATAAGACAAATAAAAATCATTGTATTTAAATAAAATATGTAATTTTTATGTTAATTATTTAGAAGTACCAATTATTTTAATTTTTATTAATACAGTTTTTAATAAGCTAACAATTTAAAAGAGTATGCAAAAATAATAGTTTGTAAAAATTTTATTTTTGGGTTTTATTAACTAATTTATATTAAATCTTGTAAAGTGTTATATTGGATAGCCTGGAAAAAAATTGACAGTCCCCGAGGAAAAAATAGTAACCAAATATACTCCCAAACAATCTATCAGATAACAATCTGGCCGAATCCGGCTCTGCACAATGACGTAGATTAAACTTTAATAAATTGAAAGATCCAAACAAAAAATATTTAGTTTACAATTATTGGTCGTGCGGTTCGTTTATAAAGTTTTTGTTTGTTAGGTGCATACACATTTGTAGATGTAAGTTTTCAATTTTATTATTTTGTTGCTTAGCTTGTGTTCTAAACTTGTTTGCGATTTGGAGTGCTCTCATGATTTTTAATGTGTGCATGTTTTAAATTTAAAGTTTAAAGTAGTTGTTTATTTGATATTTGCGTGCAAATATTTGTAGTTTAGTGTAGTTTTAAATGTTTTAAAATGGTAGAAATAATTTTATTACAATTACGATAATTTTTTAAATTGCGATAAATTAATCAAGGTTAGATTTTAAATGAAATTGACGAACCATTTTATATATCAAATTAGCACTTTGTTAATTGACGATACATTGTTAAATATTAAATATTAGCGGTATCTTAAAAATGTTTATTAAAAAGTTGTTAACCACAATTATCTACAACTTTTATTGAACATTTTTTTTAATTTGTAGAACTACTTTTCTTGTCAAAATAGTATTAGGAATTTTTTCGATAAAATCAAAAATAAGTTATTGCCGAATGCACCCCTTAATCCAAGATGGCTTTAAGGGGTTGATGGTCGAAACTCAGATTAAAAAAATATATTTTTTTCAGAACTATGCCCAACCACACGCTTGAGCATTCACCGAATGCGGTGCTCAATAAAGCAGTATTAAATAACTACATGTCACTGCCCATTCCAGATGGAAAATGCCAAGCTACCTACATCTGGATAGATGGATCTGGAGAAGGTGTTAGGGGAAAAACCCGCACCTTGGACTTTGTACCAACCAAACCATCAGGCAAGTGAAATTGAAATAATGTACCATAAGTCATTGCAATAGATTTAACAGTAATTTATTTAATAATTGTAACATTTTCGTGACTAAAAAGAAAATTATGATAAAAATAACATTCGTGATCAAAACAATAGAATCTTTATTTGTCATTTAAGCATGGCATGTTTTTATTTCTAACATCCCATTGTCCACTATTTACCTTTTTAAGTTCAAGGCGAAGAGCAGTAATTTAAAAATAATTAACTTAACGATATCGAAAATGCATAATTTCTGAAAACACTATCGACGACATAAATATGCATTTACCGATTAGGATGAATTTATAGAATTTGTGTAAATAAATTTGTTTGTTAATTTTAATTTATAAAGGTCACCTATAGAATGGCCTTGATGAAGTAATTAAAAATTTCCAAATGCGATTTAAATCTGTCTATCTAGCTATTTAAATATTCCAAGCGAGCAAATAAAAGATGGTTTAGTATTTGAATTTAAATAAATAAATAAATAAATAAGTTTTTAAATTGGTCTGTAAATTTAATTTGTGGGTATTTATCTACAACATTTGTGATAAACTGATCAACAAAACTATGCAGAATTAAATTTAATTTTAATTATTGTTTGTCTATTTGCTAAAATCTAAACAAAATACATGATCCACACACGTGTATTTTCCTAAGTATAATATTATCATGCGGTTTTGTACTTTCTATTTGGTTTGGCGTAAACACCAAATTACATAAAAATATATAATATAAAATAGAATTGTTGTTAATAATACAGTTGCTGATTACATGCGTTATATTTTTATGCTTGACCATGGCCTTTATTTCAGTTTTAGCGCGTGCTATTTAAATTTATAGGAAACAATTGTTTGTTTAGACATGACAGTGATATTTTATTTATGATGTTCTTTGTGAGTAGACCTTGATTTGATTAAGTTGTTTTTTATTATTTTGTTATCCAAAAGAGTGGAAATCACATAGTTTTGTAAAAAAAATTTAATACAAAATTGTGTTTTAAAATTATTAATTTGAATGTTCAAAGTACCGTCTTTAATACAAGAATTTCCAAAGCATTATGTTCAACTGTGAAGTATTCCATATTTTGTTAGTTAACGTCTTTTTCCAAAGGCTATTTTAAATTTAGGGTATTTCCACGAAACCTTACCCCACCTTGACAAAAAATCAGATGTGTTATTTAACAAAATAACAACTATATATAAAGTTAAATAGTTTAATTGCGACGTAATTTATAACCTTAAAATATTCGTATCTTGATATATATGAATATACACTTTATTATCATGAAAAAAACGCAGTTTTAGTGTCGCACCCGTTACAATAAAAATATCCTTTAGTTAAAACCAATTTAATAATAGAATGTTTTTTTCAGACCTTCCAGTATGGAACTACGATGGCAGCTCATGTTATCAAGCTGAAGGCTCAAATTCCGACACATATCTTTTCCCTGTTGCTATTTACAACGACCCCTTCCTGAGGGGCAACAATAGACTTGTTCTCTGTGATACCTACAAGTACAACAAAAAACCAACAGGTAAGAAAACCTCCACTTTAACAATAGAGCAAAAATAGCACGGGCCAGCAATGAGCCGGTAAAACGCCAGTGGAATGCCATTGCTGGCTTATTGCAGGCAAATTGCTGGCCCATTAAAAATAGCTTATTAAGAATAAAACAATTACAGAAACCAACAAAAGGGTGACATGCCTGCAAGCCATGGAGGCCGCCAAAGACACCAAGCCGTGGTTCGGCATCGAGCAAGAGTACACCCTCTTGGACATGGACATGCGCCCCTTGGGCTGGCCCAAGAACGGCTTCCCCGGCCCCCAGGGCCCCTACTACTGTGGCGTGGGCGCCAACAAGGTGTACGCCCGCGATATAGTCGAGGCCCATTACAGGGCCTGCTTGTACGCAGGCGTGAACGTCAGCGGTACCAACGCCGAGGTCATGCCGGCGCAGTGGGAGTACCAGGTTGGACCCTGCGAGGGTATCTCCATCGGCGACGAGTTGTGGATTTCCAGGTACATTTTGCACAGAGTTGCGGAGGATTTCGGTGTCATCGTCACTTTCGATCCCAAACCCATGGAGGGAGATTGGAACGGAGCCGGTGCTCACACCAACTTCTCCACCAAGGCCATGAGGGAAGATGGAGGAATCATGTGAGTAATATTTTTTTAAATTTTTAGTTTTTGCTTTTATTACATTTCGAGGATTTCAACGATTTAACTAAAAAAACAAGTTTTTGACGAGCCAACAATAAGCCGGTAAAAGGCCATTAACGGCTCATTAAAGGCTTATTGCTGGCCCTCTAAAAATAGCTATAATATTAAATTTTAAGGATTTTTTAAATTTAAACGATTTAACTAAAAAAATCTTAAAAATTGGAATATACTGTATATGAGGAGCATCCGTGCAAAACCGGCTAAATTTGATTTGATTTGATTTCGCATCTTTCATTCATTTCTATCGACAACCAAGATAATTCTGTTTAAATCCGACTATATCCATGTTAAAATCACATTTAAAAGGTAGCTTTAGGAGCAAAACCGGCCAAATCCACGTTTTAATAGCAAACCCGGCTATATCCAATAAATAATAATGATGATTAGCATGTCGATACTACTACTAAAATTTGTTCTGTTTTTTCATGTTTGGACTAAATTTATTTTGTTAATATTTTTGAATAATAAAGGTTTTTTTTCACATTTTATTTGGTTTTTGAGCAAAACCGGCTATATACAAAACATTTTTTGAAATTTTGGCCTTAATATAAAGTTTTTGAAAACGAAAGTATGTCTTATAGATCAAGTACCACAAAGCCCACAAAACTCAAGTTTGCTTTTTCTTTTATCTGTAAAGACCAGGAAACTGAGAGTTTTTCCATTTTCCCAACATTTTATTAAAGTGGATATAGCCGGTTTTGCACGGATGCTCCACATATATTGTATTGGAAAATACTGTATATTGTATTACCCTGTGAACATATACAAATAAGTGTAAAAATAGCAAGTTTTTGACGAGCCAGCAATAAGCCGGTAAAAGGCCATTGCCGGCTCATTAAAGGCTTATTGCTGGCCCTCTAAAAATAGCTATAATATTACATTTTAAGGATTTTTCAAATTTAAACGATTTAACTAAAAAATCTTAAAAATTGGAATATACTGTATATGAGGAGCATCCGTGCAAAACCGGCTAAATCCATTTTATTCAGTTTTGTTTTTTTTTTGATTTCGCATCTTTAGGTTCATTTCTATCGACAACCAAGATAATTCTGTTTAAATCCGACTATATCCATGTTAAAATCACATTTAAAAGGTAGCTTTAGGAGCAAAACCGGTCAAATCCACGTTTTTATAGCAAACCCGGCTATATCCAATAAATAATAATGATGATTAGCATGTGGCTTGGATATGTCGATACTACTACTAAAATTTGTTCTGTTTTTTCATGTTTGGACTAAATTTATTTTGTTAATATTTTTGAATAATAAAGGTTTTTTTCACATTTTATTTGGTTTTTGAGCAAAACCGGCTATATACAAAACATTTTTTGAAATTTTGGCCTTAATATAAAGTTTTTGAAAACGAAAGTATGTCTTATAAATCAAGTACCACAAAGCCCACAAAACTCAAGTTTGCTTTTTCTTTTATCTGTAAAGACCAGGAAACTGAGAGTTTTTGCCATTTTCCCAACATTTTATTAAAGTGGATATAGCCGGTTTTGCACGGATGCTCCTCATATATTGTATTGGGAAGTACTGTATATTGTATTACCCTGTGAACATATACAAATAAGTGTAAAAACTAGCAAGTTTTTGACGAGCCAGCAATAAGCCGGTAAAAGGCCATTGCTGGCTCATTGAAGGCTTATTGCTGGCCCTCTAAAAATAGCTATATTAACGTCCAAAATAAGCAGTTAAAATATTTTCAAATGTTGTTTTCATTTCAGTGAAATTGAAAAGGCTATTGACAAGCTTTCCAGAAACCACCTTAGACACATCCAGGCCTACGATCCTAAAGGAGGAAAGGACAATGAACGTCGTTTAACCGGAAGACACGAAACTTCATCCATCCACGATTTTAGTGCAGGTAAAAATAATAATAAACACTTTTTTCAGTGAAATCTACCTTGCATTACATTTCAAAAAAACACAAAACAAACTGGATATTAAAAAAAAATTGTAGGTGTTGCTAATCGTGGGGCAAGTATCCGCATTCCCCGGGGCTGCGCTGAGGAGAAAAAGGGGTATTTGGAGGACAGGAGACCATCCTCCAATTGCGATCCCTACTCAGTAACCGAAGCCATTGTCAGGACCTGTATCCTCGACGAATAAATGCACTGCATAATTAACATTACAATTCTATTTTATATAATTCTTTACAATGTTTTTAATGTAACGTTTATTTTAGATGTTATTGTATATGAAGAAGTTTTATTCTTCAACTCAATTCAATTGTACAACGTATTATAACAATTGTTCATTGTTAATTAGATGTGATTTGTGAAGTAATGATCATTAATCATCAAACAAAAAATGTACGAAAAAATACAAAAAAGGCACTAATTATTTTGTGGTAAATTTTATTGCACAATGTTATATATATAGGCATATAATCTAAATGTTAGAACTGTAATAGTTTATAACAAGTTAAACAAAAAATAAATATTTGTTAAACAAATCCCAAGTTTTTTAATAAAATTTCCAATTTATTAGATAATGTTTGTAACGTTATTAAGATTGGTTTACCAATTTTGGGCTGCTGATTTTAAAAATGCCACTCGTTTTGCTCCAGGACGTCTAGGATTCGAAATAATTGCGTAACAAAATGCTCTGCCCAATTATCCCAAAATGTAAGTTTTTCGTTAATATTTTGATTATTTATTAAATTATTTTGGATGTTCAGTACATTTTTGAAGTTTTTTGTCAAAAATATACAGGGACTCCATACAAAGTCATCGGTAGATAAATGTCAAATAGAAATTTTGTTTGTTCCATTGTAGCCGTATACTATAGTAGTATTATATAAGGGATATTTAATAAAGCACTTTTCTACAGAGAAGTGCTTTATTAAAAAAAATGCTCTCAAAGTTGACGAGCTTGTCGCATATGGCAGTGTTAAAGCTGTCATTGAAAATGTTCTTGGTTCATATCGGGCCTAAAATTGGCGGCAATTCATTGAAAAAATGCTTTCCGTTTTGCAAAGAATTAGCGTTAATATGTCATTTAATACATTTTCTTTTTTTTTCATCCTGATAAATTTGCCGAACTGATGAACATGGAGAACGATTTCACCAAGTAACTGCAAATCTAGAGCATTGGTAGATATCTATGGGTATAGCGGAAAGAAGTTGGATTCATTGCTAGGAGACATTTGCTGGAATTTGCAGCAAAAGATGTACGACGAATGATGGGGATTAATAAATTTAAGGTAGAAAAAAACAAAATTATGCAATGCATTAAATTTTGAAGGCTTAATTTGGATAAAAAATAATGAAACTTGTTTACTTTGTTGCCCTTTCAATTTAATAATTAAAATAACCGGCAAACATGTCAAATAATGGTTGTTTTTTACATAAAATACATTAAAATTTTAGTCATATTGTTAAGAAAAATATTATCTATTTGCCGTATACCAATTACTTTAGTATATTCAAGATAAATTTAAGCCAAAATAATTTAATAAATAATTAAAATACCAACAAAAAACATACATTTTGAGGTGATTGAGCAGAGCATTTTATTACAAAATTATTTTAAATCCTAGACGTCCTAGAGAAAAACAAAAGAGATTTTTGAAATCAGCGGCCCAAAATTAGTTAAACTAAGCTGGAGTACTCAATCTTAGGAAAAAAAAGTTTCTAAAACTTTCATAGTATAATAATTACGAAAATGTAGTTTTATAATTCCTCTTTTTCCTATCAATAGAAAAATATTGGAATGATTTATCTAGTGGAAGTAAAAAAAGGAACATCCAGTAAAAAAATTTAAAAAATAATTTTATTATCTATTTTCGACTACACCCGTTGGAGGGCGCAGTAGTCACAGAACAAAACAAAATAATTTACTGCCATTGCAATGAAGTCAAACTTTAACCCTGATAGCACACTTTATTCTAAGAATGTTTTTTAAACCTATCAGTGAGAATATTCTTAGGATCATGCTATATTTCTTCTAAAGAACATGCTTAAAAGACATATAGCATGATCCTAAGAATATTCTTACTGGCCTATAGGCAGGTTCTTAGAAGGTGCAAAGTTTTAGTGGTAAAAATTAGTCTACTCTAAACATATGCTTAGAATGTTAAGAAAGTAATTGCTATATAGAAAGTTCATTTAGGAATATTCCTGGTAAGCATATTTAGTTCAGTTACCTATATAATAGTAAAATATACCATAAACTACGCATAAAGGTATATACCTATACCTAAGTACTTAAGTAAAAAACACAATCCAAAATATTTTTTTATAGTTATTTGTCAAATTAAAACAATATTCGATAACAAAAATACTTTTACTTTAGGTATTTTATTTTATGTTAAAAATAAATATTTATTAATTTGTATACCGATTTTTAATTTCTGAATTAACATTTGTATGTATAATAATCCTAACTGTCTTCAACTTCAATCTAATCTGACTTATCCCACAAAATTTTCCAATTTTACTTTTTATGAAATAATGTCATACAACTTATGGTTTAGAGGTCAAATTGTTTATTTAATATTTTTAAATAAATATATATTAATATGTCGCAAATTTTTTTAAGGGGACGACAAATACATTTCACTGTCATATTATGACAGTGAGGCGTATTTGTCGCCTCCTGAAGAATTTTACGAATGTAGAATCCAACATATTAGAACGTGGGTATCTGACATATTTGGAAATATTCTCAAAAGCTTCCTAGAAGCTCCATAAGAAACCTTCTAAGAACATTCCAAAAACGTATTCTTAAAATGTTCTTAGGATGCTTTTTAGGAAGGTTTTAAGAATATTTCATTATTCCGGGTCATATCTTCTTAGAAGATTCTTAAAATCAAATTTTGCTATCAGGGAACATTCTGCGGAATGTCACAAAAGTGTCATTACATATTTAAAATTCTTCAAAAACTACACTTAATTCTTAAATAAATAAAACTAATGTAAAACAAATCACAAACCTTTTATTTATTAAACATGAAACATAAACATTACATCAATCGGATTTCGATTTTTCCTCTTTTATAATTTCCATTATTCCGTCTTGCATCTCTCTTACCACATCGTACTCGCTTAATCCAAGACGGCGCTTGTTGGAAATGTCATAAACACCGTCCTGCGCAGAAGTGTGCTCGCCCCCGGTACCTCGCACTTGCAAGTTGTATTTTTTGGCAACCGCGTGCAACACACTTTCGTCCGCCGCCAGTTTTGGCACTTTGATGTGCACTGAAGCTCTAATACCAGTGCCTAATAAAGCACAGTTTACTTTCCAAAAATACACTCACAGGCAAAATAATCGATCCACACAAATTCTCGATGAATTTCAATCGCAAATAACTTTTTTATTTGATGTCGGATTTAAACAAATATTAAATAATATTGTAGATAAATTAATGGACAAACGCTCACATTTTAAAAAAATACTAAAAATATACGTACGTTTATAATATACAGGTTTAAACCAAAAGATGTTATTTACCATAAGTTTAAGACTCTCTGTAGAGTGGCAAAACCGTATATTGTTCTAAATTAAGTTTTAATTATCAAGTCACATCTATTTTTAACAGTTTTGTTTTTGGTTCAAATTGATATATTTATTTTTGTGGAAAATATGGATTTAAAAAAAAACATTGCAATTTCCAATAATTTTCCTGTATAAAGAACTAGGTTTTGTTAAATCATCCCATACTTGGACATGTCATATACAGCTTTCAAAAGCTATCAAATTGTTTTTTGTAAATTAATGTGTTAATTTTGAGGTGTCTTCTTACTTTTAAAAATGTCTCCGACTGATGTTGCCCTTTGTACTTTACTTCTTTTGACGTTTAAAACACTTGCCATGTAATACTGTGACCGTCCATCCTGGATTACATTAATGGCTCTGGCAACATCAGTCGGAGACATATCCATTTTTAAAGTAAGAAGACACCTCAAAATTTAAACATTAATTTGCAAAAAACAATTTGATAGCTTTTGAAAGCCGTGTATGACATGTCCAAGTATGGGATGATTCAACAAAACTATCATCCTCCATAGCCTATGAATGGACCATAGCAACCTTAGTTCTTCATACAGAAAAAATATAGGAAATTGCAATATTTTTTTAAAAAATTCATATTTTCCACAAAAATAAATATATCGAGGTGAACCAAAAACAAAACTGTAAGAATAGATGTGACTTGATAAATAAAACTTATTTTAGAACAATATACGGTTTTGCCACTCTACAGAGTGTCTTAAACTTATGGTAAAAAAAATCTTTTTGTTTAAACCTGTATATTATAAACGTGCATCTATTTTTTAGTAATTTTTTTAAATGTGAGCATTGTACATTAATTTATCTACAATATTCTTTAATATTCGTTTAAATCCGACATAAAATAAAAAAGTTATTTGCGATTGAAATTCATCGAAAATTTGTGTGGATCGATTATTTTGCCTGTGAGTGTATAAGGTGGCCTATGCTTGTGATTCATAAGGCAATAATATACCAAACAAGTATTTGATTAAAGCAATATGGAATTTACAAAGTACAACAATAAGTACAAATTGTCAGCTAAAATGTGTTTATGACAAAAGCACACTACCTCCTTAAAACCTATTGCACTTAGCAGGTTTTATGACAGCTGTAAGGTAGGTTTTATGGCTGCTGTAAGGTGTGCCTTAGGAGTAATACAATAAAGCAAAGTTGCTTTGTGGCTGACACACAAATTGCTCCTAAGGACAGCGATAGGATTCTCCTTTTTAGCCCTATGATGGTTTTATCGAAGCTGTATAGCTGCTATTAAAGCAAATAGGTTTTAACTGAGCAATGCAAATTACCCTTAAGAATAGTTTTATGGAGCCCTTGCATACCTAAAAAACCTATCTTGCTACTTGGGATACTTTTAAAGAACCCTTAAAACCAATATACTACTAAATTAGTAAATATACTACTAAATTAGTAAATGTTGTTTGCTGATAGTTCGATTTACTAACATTGAGTTCGCCCACCTATATTACCTAATTTTGGGTCGCTGATTTCAAAAATGCCACTCGTTTTGCTCCAGGACGTCTAGGATTCGAAATAATTGCGTAATAAAATGCTCTGCCCATTTATCTCAAAATGTAAGTTTTTCGTTAATATTTTAATTATTTATTAAATTATTTCGCCCTAAATCTATTTTGGATGTTCAGTATATTTTTGACGTTTTTTGTCAAATATATACAGGGACTCCATACAAAGTCATCGGTAGATAAATGTCAAATAGAAATTTGTTTTGTTCAATTGTAGCCGTATACTATAGTAGTATTATATAAGGGATATTTAATAAAGCACTTTTCTGCAGAGAAGTGCTTTATTAAATACCAAAACAAAAATTATTATGTTTTTTTCGTAAAAATAATCATTTTTTGAAATTTTTGTGTCGTTTTTTAATTACTAATTAAATTGAAAATTATTTGAAATGTTTTTATTCACATCATGCCCAAAGTACCCAAAAATTTAATCTCGAATCTTATTTATCAAGTCTTATCAAAATTTAATATCGAATTGAAGTATAAAGTCCCCTTTATCTACTTTATCGTTCAAGCACATTAAAGTGCATCTATTATTCATTTTTGACATTTAAAATTTAAACTTTAAATTGTATTTTTACTTGAAAGTGATTTTAAGAACCAAAAATGAAAAAAGAGCAGGAAATGGAAGTGGTAATGGAAGTGGCAGAGAAAGAGAAAGCAGACGAACATTTAGGTCGTCGTTGTAAATTTGTTTTGTTTTCGTTGCGGTACCTTTACGCCCAAGAAAAACCAACGCAATATTTCATTACAAAATTTTATGAGATATACCTACTACTTTAATTTTACAGAAATATTAAATGGACCTGATATACGACGTTTAATGAAAGATCAAGCATTCAAAAATGCTCTCAAAGTTGACGAGCTTGTCGCATATGTCATTGAAAATGTTCTTGGTTCATATCGGGCCAATTCATTGAAAAAATGCTTTCCGTTTTGCAAAGAATTGACGTTAATATGTCATTTACAATACATTTTTTTTTTCATCGTGATAAATTTGCCGAACTGATGAACATGGAGACATTTGCTGGAATTTGCAGCAAAAGATGAAATTACTTTAAATCCCAGACGTCCTAGAGAAAAACAAATGACATTTTTAAATCAGCGGCCAAAAATTAGTTAAACTAAGCTGGAGTACTCAATGTTACTAAAAACAAGTTTCTAAAACTATCGTAGTATAATTTAGTAATAAATATAAAATATATACCTATATTGGTGGGACAAAACGTCAAATAACCAAGCCTTTCGTCTCTGGCAAACGTCAGCTGAGAGCCCAGTTCTTCCACCCCTTTAACAAATCTTTTATACACTTGCCCCAAATCGCCCCCCTTTTGCAGCGAGATGATTCTCATGTGATCCTCCTCGTTTACCCAGACGACGAATGTTTTGGCGTCGTTCAAAAAAATTCCTCGACCTGTCGGCCAAAATCTCGAGGCTTTAGCCGCCTGGAGAAACCGATCGCCCTCGGCAAACAAAAAATGATCGTCTATTAGCTTCTTCTGAGTTATTTTCGACATGCCTTTTAGGGGCAAGTAGTCGCCACCCAGTTCACCTGTAAAAAATGTTTAATAATTTGCTACACTTGTCTCTTACACAGGCTGTTTAAGTGTAAAGCCTGAATTACAGATTGCCTTCCTTCCTTCCTCCCGTAGTCGTGCCCGTACGATTTGTGCGACTTGTAAAAACTCAATTTATAGATTTCCGTGTAAAATTCCGTAACCATGCGCGATGACACCTAAAATGGTTGACATTTGTTTTTGTTTACATTCTCCGTTTTACCCATTGTGTGTAAATTAGAGTGTCTGAAAAAAACCGACTATTTTTTTTTTCCAAAGAACATTGAAAATTCGTCAGAGTATCTCTAGAAAATGACCCTGTTAAAGTAAGAGCTCTTAATATTAATATTTAGATGTGTCGTTTTGTAATTTTCTATTTCCCATTTAAATAACATGGGAAATTTTTTTTTTCAAATTTGGAATTTTGTAACGTGGTAACGAGCTACTTTATAAGTATGACGAAATTACTCCTTATAGGAAATTTAATGCTCTACAAAAAAGGTCTGATTGACTTTTTGCGTAAGTCAAGCCGTTTCAAAGATATCGAGCCTCAAACTTCAGAATGTTTAAAATTATGCTTTTTTTCTTAAATACAAAAAAAATCAGTTTATATGTATTTAAGACCCAAAATTATTAACTTGAGAATAAATATATGCATATATTTAATGGAATGCAGATTTAAAATTCTTAATAATTTGATAAATGATCATTTTTATTGATTTTTAGCAAAAAATATTCACTTACCTAAAAAAATTTGGTAGAAGTTTACTATAAATTTATTTACATTATGTATTAATAATATATTTACTGTTTATATAGTCATGTTAATAGTCCATTTCACTTTATATCAATTTTCTTCTGTTATCTCCTGATTTTTTTGTATTTAAAAAAAAAAACATAATTTTAAACATTCTGAAAATGAGGCTCGATATCTTTGAAACGGCTTGACTTACGCAAAAAGTCAATCAGACCTTTTTTGTAGAGCATTAAATTTCCTATAAGGAGTAATTTCGTCATACTTATAAAGTAGCTCGTTACCACGTTACAAAATTCCAAATTTGAAAAAAAAAATTTCCCATCTTATTTAAATGGGAAATAGAAAATTACAAAACGCCACATCTAAATATTAATATTAAGAGCTCTTACTTTCACAGGGTCATTTTCTAGAGATACTCTGACGAATTTTCAATGTTCTTTGGAAAAAAAAAATAGTCGGTTTTTTTGAGACACTCTAGTGTAAATATGAAAGATAAACATTTGTATATTAGTGCAGTGATCACAATTTTTAATTGCCCAGGCAGCTTGTTGTATATTGTGGGAAATTAGCATAAACTACATTTTTATAAAAAGCAGTAGGTATTTAACTGATTTATTTAACTTTAAAGATAGTTTACTGCATTTCTTTGTTGAATTAAGATACAAAATGTCCATAGCTTTATCATAGCACAAGAAAACGCATTTAGAATTTTTTTGTAGTTACTGCCTTTCTCTATAGTAGGGTATAATGAAAAAAACATCGAACAAGACGTTGGAAGACTCGTCCACTTTACCAAGACCGGGAAACTACGGGGTTTTACAAAGCAACGCTTCTAAAAATGAAACACATTGATCATAAACAATATCTAAATATCCTATTTAGAGACACAAATTATTTAATAAACTGAACACCTATCTTAAATAATACTAAACAATCATGTATTTTAAATATTTTGTGCCTACGCGTCACCCTACAGCGCATGTCCATAACAAGCACTGTGATTGGTCATGTCAAAGACCTTTACGGTGAAAGATAAGACTTAAAAATTTCTACGGGAGGAAGGAATGCCGTCCTTAAGGTTATGGAATCTATAAATGGCACTACGATTTAAATAAACATTTTTGACGTAATTGTCACCATTAACATTGCCCGTTATTAATTTTAATTAAACTTAACAATTATTGATACTTTAAAATATTAAAATAACTTCAAAATATGATTTTGTTAAGAAAATATTTTATCCTTTGATTTTTTTATTACTATAATTGCAAAATATTATCACAAAGTATTAAAAATTCTTACACGGGAAATGTTAATGGTGACAATTAAGTCAAAAATTTCGTATTGTTCATCTTCTACGGGAGGAAGGAAGAAAGGCAATCTATAATTCAGGCTTAACACAGCAAACGGAAAAATATAGTAGTGTATACGCTAAAGAAGTATCGGGTTTTCGCAACGCGCGCGCCATCTGGTGGACTTCAAAAGCATTGCGTGAATTTAAGAATTGTCAACAATACATTTAAAGCATACGAACTGTACATCATTTTTAAATAAATAGGTAGTTTTTTACAAAAGAGAGGTCTTACTCGACAAATTTTGTTCAATTGCACAGCTAAATCGCGCACGGTATTTGTGTTTTACGTTACAAGGAAAAAACTAAAAAACTTTTTTAGTACTCGATTTCGATTGATTATTCCTTATATCATTGATTAAGAAACTCAACGCTTAAATGCTTATATAGTTACGTTAGTGTGTGTATTTTATCAAAGGGATCATGGTGAATTATTGCGTTTTTAATTGTAAATAAAATTCAAGAACTAAAAGGTTGCATTTTCATGTTTTGCCAAAGGATACAATTCGGTAAGTACATTTGTTGGTGCAGAATTAACCAATGATAACTTTACCTAATATAATTTATATTTAAGTTTGGACATTTTTAAGAAATTAGTAAAAAAAATTGCACAAACATAACCTTAAAATCTCCCATTTTTATATTTGAGTTCTCTAAAAAACGCCGACAACTGCATTTTAAACAACAAAATATACCTACGAATTCATGGCAACATAATATTATATATAATACATAATATAATGGTATTTTACTGTTGAGTGGAGACTTTCTTAATCAACGCTTTTAATAATGCTAAATGCTGTTTAAATTTAGACGACTTAAATGTTTACACTTTTTACGTTAATCATTACTAAAAATGTGTATTTTTTAATATATTTGTTTTTTAATTTTTTTTATTATTTTCCGGCTTTATTCTCAAAAACACTCGTTCTAACACACGCGTTTGACAGCTCATTATAAAAAGTTGTACTTTTGTTACGATGATAACAGCCGAGTGGTGGCGCTACTAGCGATACTTCTTTAGCGTATAGTAATTTTAAAATGTCATTATTTTCATTTTCCGTCATTTTAACTTCTATTTCTTTTGGCATTTCGTCCTTTTAGACTATAGTCATTTTAGCTTATTGTCATTCTAGAAAGTAATTATTTTAGTTTGTCCAACTTTTATTTTAAAAGGTCATTGTCATCCTCTTAATCTGTTGTCATTTAGCTAATAGTCATTTTAGAATGAAATTATGTTATTTTAGCTTGTTACTAAAATAGTAACTATTATTGTTTTGTTAGAATGTCATTATTTTAGGTTTTATATTATAACTTGTTGTCATTTTAGCTTGTCAGTAATTTAGCATGTAGGCATTTTACTTTACCGTCAATTTAAAATTTCATTATTTTTACTTTTACTTTTAATCATTTTAGATATCACTATTATACATGGTGTAATGTAATTAATGTAATATATTAAAATGGGTAGTTTCCTAGGGTCTATAAAGAATCACCTAAATACTAAAAACTAAAAATAATTTATAATAACTTTTATCCTACCAAAAAGTACGCCACTGATCGACTAGGAACTTTAGGCTAATCTGGTTGCCTAATTTAATTTATTATGTTATTAGCGTTTCCAGATTCTGTCAAAAAAGTTGCCAAATTTTGTTTAAATTTAGATTAATTACAAAAATGACAAAATCAATGCAAATTGTTAATTTGGCGTTTTTATTAATTTTTTATTATGTCATTTTTGAAGGTAAATTCAAACAAAATCTGGCATCTTTTGTGACAGAATTTAGTGCATTTCTTTTAAATTTAAGGTTATGTGCTCAAATTGGAAGTGCTTTTGGATTTATTTACACAAATTGAATGTTTAAAAATTAACCTGTGAACTTGTCCTAATTTCATCTGAATAAACACTAAGTTTACTAAATTTTCTAATCATTGCTTAAGCTAATAGCTGGATGATGAGTAAATAAATAATAATAATAAATAAAAAAACTTGTAATGCATATTTTTTTCTTTAAGAAAATATTTTTCCTTTACACCTTATGTCAAAAGGTATTCAGTATTTTAATATATTACATTAATTACATAATACCCTGTGGTTATTACAGCATATAGTAATTTTAGAATGTCATATTATTGCTCTCATCTTTTAGAATTTTAAAATGATTTTTTTTCTCATATACATACCTGTAAGATTTCCTAAAGCACATTTGACCTCCTCTTCCAATTTAATATAATGTTCCTCAGTCATACAAGGATTCAAAGGATATTTAGCCAATGATCTGCCACATCTCACCCTTGTAGAAACAATGAAAGTCCCTTTAGGGTCCAAATCCGCCATGCAGTTGGTATTACCGAAATTTACAGGGGGTTGAGAATCATCTTTGGTGAAATTCAGATGGTACTCTTCAATAACAGGGTTAAACAATTCGGCGAAAACATTGTAAGCTTCAGTATCCGGGGCATATAGTCCCACGGAAGAATCCAAATTTGCAACCCCTATTATAATAACGCTCAACAATATGTTTATAAGTTTTTTTTGTATATGGGTGATTCTACAAAAGTTGGGCAACTTTTGACCTCATTTTATTTATATAGTTTTCGGAGAAAATTAAACAGTACTTTGTTATGAGAACATAGATAATATAATAAATATACTGTTCCAGACCGGGCCAGTCACTTTTTCAAACAGTTTCTGAAATATATGTGTTTTCTAAATTTGAATGCAAGGGAAGTGACGAGTATACCAGGGTACTAATTAAATACATAATTTATTGGAAAATATAAGATTTATTGCAACTTTGAGCATATTATACATTAAATATCTTAAAATCAAATAATACCACACATCAGTGGCGGCTGGTGGATTTTGGGTATACCGATATCTCAATTATTAGATATGGGACCCACACCAAATTTATATGAGTTTATAATGACATTAAATAAACAAGTTCTGCGCAAGCAGAATTTAAATTGAAGTTTGCGAAAAAAAGATAACCGAAACATCGAACATGGAACTGACGACACGGTACTGATAATGGGATACAAATTTGAGATTATAATTCGGAATTAAGTATTTTACTGCTATTTTTTATTAGTGGATGCTACTTATCAACAAATCACATATATATATATAAATTACAATGAAATATATATACGTAATAAATATATATACGTAATAAAATAACTACTGAAATTTTGACTGGAACTATACGTGCATTCACCACAACTTCGCCGCTTACATTGTTTTCAAGATGACTGTCGTGCAAAGGGCGGGCTCTGTAGGTAATTTTTTACCAAAACTTGAGTTAAAACGAGGACTTGACGTTTAAACTTCAATATTTCGCAGGAATTTTGAATTTTAACATTGGACACAGAACTGACGGGTAAAAGTGAGTACAAAGATTATCAATTTTTTAAAATTGCTATTTTTCGAATCTATGATAAAATATGAAAAATACATTACTTAATGTTTTATAGCTTGTAGTGAAATTGAAAAATTTAAGATAAATTGAATATATTTTAAAATAAAATCACTCAAATATTTGATTCAAGAGTTGTGACACGCCAAGGTACTGATGTTTTGAATATTTATTATGTTTTTCTACAAACGTGCTTTTGGAAAAATACATTAAAATTGGGTGGACAAGTTAAAAAACCTGGATCTTTTGTAATATACTAAAATATTTACAAAAAATATTAAAATACCTACTCTATAACTTTTGTAGAATCACCCATATAAACGATACTTGCCTGATTGTATACAGTCTAGCAAAGTAGACCCAAAGGAGGTTTTCTTGTTGACGATGCTTTTAAAAACATCGGCAGTTAGGTACTTTTTTAAAAGCGATTTAGAATCCGAAGTCGATAATTTTTCAAAGGCTTCGTTAAGCTCTTTTAACACTGACGGTTCCAATTTTCCTACACCACATGTTTCCACGCATTTTTTACATGTTTTTGCCATACCAGGATTTAACAGCAAATTCTTTGACAAATAGAAATTTTGAGTGAAAGAAACTGTCAAACTTTTGCAATATTATTTTAAAATTTTAAACTTGATGGGATAAAATGGTTAATATAATATTATTCATTATTATTACCTGGTTAACTTTTAACTTGGTTAAATATTTAAATATCATAATTATTATTGTTATTGGTTTTAATCTGCTTTCTTATAAGCTGTTCATGTGTTTTCTGTTAGACTTGTATAATTTTGAAAATTTGACAAAAATTCGTGATTTGGGTCATTTTCAAAATTCTTGTACATTTAAAGAAGAAAAAGTAAAAACAAAAACAGCAGTTGAATTTTTTTTAATTAGCCCTTAAAAAAGAAAAAAAACGGTCCCCTGGGTCACAAATTTAAAGTTTTATTTACATGATTTGTTTAAAAAAAGAACATAAATTTATTTTTTATAAAAAAATTTGAAGTACGAAACTAAGTAAAAGCAAGAACTATGTTTTATTTCTCAACTTTCATACATACATAAGTATTTTTAATTTACCTATTTTCTGTATTTGAGTCATTTTCAAGAAACCCCCACTTTCAGGAAAATGAAGATCAAAATTTTTTTGCTTAAATTGACTTTTGGTTGGATTTTTATAAATGTTTAAAGTTTTGTTTACTTACATTTAAGACAGGCAGTGCACTTTTTAATGTTTTTTACGTTTTTTTCAGAAAAATGTGTTTAGCTAGCTTTATATATCTCCACTGTGTTACCAATTTGAAATCCAAAATTTAATTCAATTAAAGAAGTTGTTATAAAAATAATTTGAAATAAAATGTACTTAATTTACAAACTTTTGACTCCAATTTTTTATTTTATTTTTTATTAAAAATTGTATGCTTTTTTTAAATATGTATGTTCGTTAAGTTACTTTTTAAAAGAAACCATTCCGATTCTTTGTTAAAAAAAATAATACCATTAATATTTTTTTTAGTCACTGTATTAGTAAATTAAACTCTAATTTATAAACGCGTATTACCAAGTGATAGTGTATAAAAATCATTTTAGTATTTTTTTTAACAAAAACAAAAAAAAGTAACGAAATTGGTATCACAACGGACTGGGGTACACAAAGGACTTAATCAGATAACGTAAAAAAGAAACTATAAAGGGTGGTACGATTTTAGAGTAATGCATAAACAAAATCCCTTGTAGTGGTGCTCACTTGCAGAATAACAACTTAGATTTCTAAATTGTAGACACCCTTTTTCTTTGACTATAAGCTGGTGAAGGTCCCTTTTAGTACTTGTATATTGCGTGGAATTTTCCCTTGGATGTAATCTATATCATGAGTTGTAATCACAAATAATTTTAAATTGGTTTATCATAAACTACTTTTAATAAAAGCGACGGTAAATATCCACTTTGTTGTCGAAAAATTCTATTGCGTTACCCTAAATTCCATTGCGTTACCATAAGGTAATGTAATGGACTCGGTAACGCAGTTTTGTGAAACCGTATTTAAAAAATAATAATAAAACATTACAGTCATTAATTACTCTCAATGAGCTTTAGTGCCCTAAAATAAACATAAACATGAAAAATAGTATTTTTTCTTACCTTATTTTTATTATTTTTTTTGAGTAACTTAGCGGACAAACAATTATTACATTCGCGTTACCCGCACCTGTTTCAACCGATATCATCTTCCCGATTGAATAAATAAATTCAGCTGGGTAATGTGTACGTCCGAACATCATTTGTTGATCACGTGAGTACCAAAAAAGTTGCCATATATATGTTTTTTTTAATATTCTATCGGTAACGCGACGGAGGTAACGCAACGGAAAAAATGTCTGGGACATGAGTCAAATTTAAAAAAGTAGATTAAAATTAATTATTTTATATATAAATTGTTTAATGTATTAACTAAGGATGTTATGGATTGCTATAAAGCAACACAAAGTTCTGGTTATTCAATATTAAAAAAAAAAACATGTATTTAAGTTATATTACCGCAAATGGGCGGTAATATTTGGGATATACAGGGTGTTATGTAATTAATGTTATATAATAAAATGGGTTGTTCCTTAGGGTCCATAAAGGAGCACCTGAAACTTTTTTTTTCTAAATTCCAAAGTCTAAAAATAATTTATAATAACCTTTATCCTACCAAAAAGTACGCCACTGATCGACTAGGAACTTTAGGTTAATCTGGTGGATTTATTATGTTATGGTTGGTTACAACAGTTTTTCCAAAATCTCTCAAAAAAGTTGACAAACATTGTTTAAATTTAGCTTAATTACAAAAATGACAAAATTAACAATGCAAATTGTCAATTTGGCGTTTTTATTAATGGGGTAGTTAAATTTTTTCTGACCTATACTTTTTATGGTTTTATTCAAGGCGTTTTGTAATATTAAACATTTCTGTGAAATCAGAATTTCAATTGAGTTTACCGTTTTCGAGATATTTACAAAAAATATAAATTTTTATGACGTCACAAACCCCGCCATGTGACCAACATTCTAAGATTTCTATTGGTTGAAAATTACCCTGTTGTCAAGTTGTCTTGTTAATGATTTCATTCGGTTATGTCAGAAAATACCCGAAGAGGTTATGTACAAATACTGTCACTGTCAGTTGAGTGAAAGAAGAAGAAGAGGAGGTTAAAGAAAATTCTGAAATTAAAAGTTTTATTGATAGGTTTACACATTGAAACAACGTGTGAAACCTAATAAAATGTAATAAAAAGGTACCTAATAACTGTCTAAAGCAGAGTTTAATATATTTCATAGAAAAAAGTGGCAAAATAAAGCTGAAAATGAATGAAATAAATTTACAAAAAATAATAATATATCTAAAAGAATATAAAGAACTAGGCATTATACTAATGAAATGCATTTACGACAAAATATGATTATAATTATAGTTAGGTACTTACTTTATTTGTTTAAAAGCTCCAATGTTCAATGTAACCAACCATTCCACAAGATTCCTCTGCTTTGGAGTCCGTTATTAATAAATCACTTATCTAATATCAATTTCAAATAACATAGCAATAACATTGATTTTCAATAATCTAAATTTAAAAAAACAACCCGAAAAAAAGAAACGTCAAAAAATCAATTCTTCTTCTTCTTCTCAACTTAAATATTATAACGTGGCGCCATCTATCTCAAGAATCTTTAACTAAACACACTGGCAACTATAGAAAAAGCTGGCAACGTTGTCATTAGCCTAGTGACGTCATTAGAAGATTTTGTTTTGTAAATATCTCAAAAACGGTAAACTCAATTAAAATTCCGATTTCACAGAAATGTTTAAAATTACAAAACGCCTTAAATAAAACCATAAAAAGTATAGGTCAGAAAAAATTTAACTACCCCATTGTTGGTTATTTCATTTTTGTACTGAAGGTAAATTCAAACAAAATCTGCCAACTTTTATAACAGAATCTAGTGCATTTCTTTTAAATTTTAGGTTATGTTTTCAAATTGTAAATATCTTAACTAAGAGAAATGCTTTTGGATTTATTTACACAAATTAAATGTTTAAAGTTTAACCTGTGAACTGGTCCCAATTTCATCTGAGTAAACAGAGAAAAAAACTGATGAAAAAATTAATTTTGTGGTTATGGATTTCAAATTTCAAAGGTACTAAATTTTCTAATCATTACTTAAGCTAATAGCTGGATCAGTAAATAAATACAGAAGGGGATTAGAGCTTTAAGGGCATAAAACTTTTGTATTTATTGAGTTTTTATTTATTTTTTGCAAGAAAAATTTTTAGTAACAATTTTTTACATCTGGCAACGCATAGCTACTTTGTTGGTTGGTATCTATGTACTCACAAAATACAGGTGTGCAGAGATAAACAGTGGCGTATCACAAAAAATATAAAAAACTTCTAATGCATATTTTTTCTTTATCTTTGGAAAAATGCTTTTTAAAATATTTTTCCTTTATTCCTTATGTCAAAAGGTATTCAGTATTTTAATATATAACATTAATTACATAACACCCTGTATTCTTAACTAGTAAAGTTCAAAATGGCGCTAAACTCAATTTTTTATAAAATATTAAAGTTGAGGGACAGCAAATGTATAAGAAAATTAAAAATTAATTAAAAAAAAATAAAGGCAACCATATTTAAACACCATACATTTTTATCTTTCTGTTACCTTTTAATGTGTTTTTAGAATAAACAAATAGTACAAATTGTTTTTCTAAAATTAATATACGACTTATTAAGTATAATCACTACAATTATTAATATTTATTCAAAGTCATCACCATACTTATTTGTAGGTTTATAAGTTGGTATAGACTCGCTATCACTAGCACGGGGCGCAGACGTGTAAGGCGGTTTATTGGCTTGACTAAAATTTTATTTTTATTATTTTTTTCGATATTCAAAAAATTAAACTCACCCGTAAGTACCAGTCCTTTTTTGCTGGTATTCTTCTCTATTTTGTTTCCTTAGTTCTTCGTACGATGTTTTATAGTTGGGCTTTACCGGAGGCATTTCTTCGTCATATATAGGATCTAAAAAAATATTTTTAATATAAATAAATATAACAAACCATTAAACTCACTATCGAGTGAAGGCCTCTGCGATTCATCAAGTCCATCGTTCTGCGGCCTTGAAGTATCCATATCCAAACTATTTCTAGGGTTAAGATCACTATAAGTATCGTTTGGGGAAGGAATGCTGGAAAATGGTGATAAAGCCATACCCGGTCCAAAACTATCACTACTAAAATTTCCGTCAATTAATACAACCTAAATTATTAAAATATTAACCTTTCTTGTATGTTTCCCCTTCGCCTTTGCCTCAGCATTTCACCGACTTTGCTATTCGGCAGCTGCATGAGTTTCTCAGCACATTTCGTCTGGTAGGAGAATTTTCCCAGAAAATAACCTAAAAACACCCCCATTGCGACCTTGGGAACAGCCCCGAACCTCTGGCTAGGCGCTAGGTAACCTTCAAAGCAAGTTTACGATGTACTCTGTAAAAAAATCATTTTCAACCACTAACCTGCTTTAACACCGTAGTACATGCTACCGGCCAGTAGGCCGCTCATCGGCAAGCATCTCTGATAAAAACTCTCCTCATTACACTCCTTAATAACGCGTAATTCTTCCGCCGAAAATTTATACTAAAAAATGTAAAATTACATATTATTGCAAAATCATCTAATTACTAATATTTACCTGCTGGGGACGTTGCCTGTTCGGTCCAGGAAAAGGGCGCGTTTCGTCCTTATCGTACGGATCATTCTGATTCGGATTCATTTTCGTATTTTATAAATACTTATATTTTTCAAGACATTTTAATTTTGAGGTTATGTAACACGCCATCTATCGGTGACAAATCAAAGCGACATTCAAATAATCTTTTTTAGAAAATATGTTTAATTTATTGATGGATTTTTGCAAACTTCTCCTTTATTTGACACGTTTTTTTTTAATAAAATACTAAATAACTCGTTTAAAGAATAGAAATAATTAATGATTCAAAATTTGTATCAAAGACGGCTTTGGATGGTTGTGTTTTGTTTAAAGCAGCCATATTGGCAGTTTGTTTATTTGTTAGTCAGTCATATTTGTTTATAACTTATGGTCACAAGTTGTGTTTTGAAGTTTCCAAAATGAGTTCCAAAGTAACAACAATGGAGTTTGTAAGTTACACTTGTTTTTTTTTATTGTTAATTATGTTCAAACCATGGTTGCGAGTCCAGGGTTTACAGAAACACCCCTAAAAATGAAAATATTTGAATTTTCCTAAAGCCTAAAGCATTTTGTTGCTGTTTTGAGTTCTTATAAGCTTTAATGTATTCAAAACAGTGGAAATTATTTCCTGCTGAAAAAAACTTGATGATCGAGTTTTAAAACATCGGTCATAGGTATACGCTAAAGAAGTATCGCTATAATATTTTTTGCATTTTCTGAGAACATTTACCATAGTAATGTATATTTTTTTTTACACCATCAGAAAGTAGAGATTTCAACGAACAAAAAGCACACCGACTTTTTGAAAAAAGCTGATATTTTGATGCGAGAATTTTCGATTGAAAATTAGGGTGCTTTTTTGATATTAAGTCAAAATAAGGCGAAATAATAAATATTTCAAATCAAATAAATTACAGTGTATTTGGGACATAAAAAGGTAAGTTTTCACCAAATTTCGTGGAAATTTTTTTTTTTTTTAAAGATAAAAATAAAAAACCAAAAACTTGGTTTTTTGAATTTTTCACATAAATTTTGAGGTTATGTAAAAAAATTGTAATTACAAAAGTTGTAGATCCTTTTATTACCTACAACTTTGCCATTTAACTTTTTTTCATAGGACTTGTAGTTTTGCCGGAAATCGAGATAAACCATTTTTTACCCTTAATTTATTTTTCCTTTCATTTTTATTATATTCTTCTCCTGTTCCAATGGGTTTCATCCTACTGTTATTTTTTTTGGTTTCAAAAATTATCGACCCTGGTCTATTTTGAGAATAAAGCAGGTAAATGTTAAAAAACATCGAAAAAAAACCGTGGCACGATATGTTGCGTTGTTGGGTGTATTTCGAGAGGAAATCCTGGGTTGAGTTTTTACCGGTTTTCCAATAAACAGTGTTAATCTGAATGAAGAAATAAATTGCATACAGTCCCTGTAAATATAAATTGTATCTATTATAAGATATAGATATAGATACAATAAATACACATTTTAGTAATGATTAACGTAAAAAGTGTAAACATTTCAATTCAGTAAAAATCGTCAAACAAATAAGTCGTCTAAATTTAAACAGCATTTAGCATTATTAAAAGCGTTGATTAGGAATTCTTTAAAGTCTCCACTCAACGGTAAAATACCATTATATTTATATGTATTATATATATATATATATAATATATATATATTATATATATATAATATTAAGTTGCCATGAATTCGTAGGTATATATTTTGTTGTTTAAAATGCAGTTGTCGGCGTTTTTTTTAGAGAACTCAAATATAAAAATGGTTGATTTTAAGGTTATGTTTGTGCAAAAATTATTTTTTAGTAATTTCTTAAAAATGTCCAAATTTAAATGTAAATTATATTAGGTAAAGTTATAATTAGTGAATTCTGCACCAACAAATGTACTTACCAAATTGGATCGTTTGGCAAAACATGAAAATGCAACGATTTAGTTCTTGAATTTTATTTACAATTAAAAACACAATAATTCACCATGATCCCTTAGATAAAATACACACACCAACGTAACTATATAAGCATTTAAGCGTTGAGTTTCTTAATCAATGATATAAGGAATAATCAATCGAAATCGAGTACTAAAAAAGTTTTTTAATTTTTTCCATGCAACGTAAAACACAGATAACTTGCGCGATTTAGCTGTGCAATTAAAGAAAATTTGTCGAGTAAGACTTCTGCCTTCCTCTCTTTTGTGAAAAAACTACCTATTTATTTAAAAATGATGTACAGTTAGAATGCTTTAAATGTATTGTTGACAATTCTTAAATTCACGCAATGCTTTTGAAGTCCACCAGATGGCGCGCGCGTTGCGAAAACCCGATACTTCTTTAGCGTATATACAAAAATCTGTATTCTTGTTTAAATGTTTGTATACTACCCAATTCTGAACTTATTTGCACTTGTACTCTTTTGCTTCTTACCCCTTCAATTGTAGGATATATGTTGAACCTACAATTGTATACAATAAATTTATACTTAAATCGCAGGGTATATATAATTTTGGTTTGGTATGAAATTACCCAATTGACGTTTATTTTAGTCCATCACCATGGAGGAAGTAAAACAGTCGGTAAAAACGTTTACCGCCTCCAAGCGATACATACAGGGAATTTGCAGAATTACCCTTTTAAACGTTTTGTACCATCGTTTACCGTTGGACGAAAAAGATTTCGTCAATATGGACTACGAAGGTATACAGTTTAAAATGTTTAAAAGGAATAGTAAGAATCCCCACATAAGGCAGTACCATTCTTGGGTAAAAGGCATATTGGATGCTCTTGATAAAAATTACGTAAGATTAATCAGAATTAATTACTTACCAATTAGGTACTGGTCAGTGGTAGCCCGTGACATTTTATTTTGGTGAGGCTGAGGCAGGGTTTCGCCCTCATTTAAAGGCGAAGACATTTTTTTAAACCCAACTTATCAAAACTGACGTCGCAGTTCACAACCTATACTTAGGATGTGGTGGGGAAGGATTCCTCTACTTTGTCAATGAAATATATTTTATTGTAAAAATGACTAAATTCACATAAATCACCAAGTTCAATTAACTAAACCCACAGAATAAACCACTTACAAAAGAATCATAAAATAGACAAACTCATAGAAAAAGAATAAACAAAATATTGCGTAAATAACCACAGATTTGTTCTTTAAACAGTTCAGAATTTTATAACCAAAACAAACCTAAAGAAGGAATCTGTATTTATTTTATTGGTTACTGTGATGGCTACAAGATGGCGATAGTGTTAAAATATGTTTATTTTAAAATAGAAACATAATTTCGATTAAATCGATTTATTATAAAAAAATAATACCATTTATTATTGAATTTTGAAAAACGTATGAAGTATAATTTATCTAAAATTCCGCAACAGTGTTGCCACAACACCTGCTTATTTCCTTGGATGTAGGCGTGCCTGCCTCGCGTATGCTAATACGAGAGAAGGAGACAACTATGATATCGCATTGTAATAGAACGAGACAACAAGGCTAACGCCAATCGTGAGTCTAAATTAGTTCAGGCATGCTTCTGAGCCAATCATCTAGCTATAAATATTAGTTTCAAATTCAAATAATTTAAATGTTGCTGGGTATTCCACGTATAAAATCAATCAATTTTATTGACTATTTCACAATTCATGTAATCCAAATATTAAAAATGTATAGTATATTATAGAAAGTAAAATATTTAAATTATACTTAATTTTTTAATTCTCTATGATGAGGCACTGCCTCACCTACCTCCCCTGACGGGCCGCCACTGGTACTGGTCTAATAATACCACAATAATTAAAAGAAATCACATTGGATTCCAGTTTGTTCTTTTTCGAATTACTTAGCATCTTTTGAAACAATAAACTTATAACAATAACATGGTTTATATTTTTAGCTTAAGGGTATTTTTTTGTATCTACGAAATGCCGATAATGGGGATATTTTGGAGATGTACAATCTAAAGTTACAGTACAATAAAGAAAAATTTACAGAAAAATATAGAAAAACTCCAGAAGCACAAGTCGAATCGACAAAAGCTCTGTTGAATTTTTTTCAAAAAATGCAAAAATGCCCCAAGCTTGGCGAAAATATCCAACCACACATTGAATTGACATATTACGACGGTAAGATTCCAAGAATTTTAGGAAAATTTAGTTTACAATTACAGTTTATTTATTGTTTGTGTGGACAATAAATGATCAATTATTTATTGTTGTCAAAATTCGTAGTTAATAATGAAATTAATTTGGCTTTGGTGGTGCGCAGATGAGTAAAACCATATAAAAAAAGTAGTTAAATATAGGTTACTACGGCCCAAAAGAGACAAAGTATTCCTAGCGGATAATAATCTTCGCTTTGAAAATAATTTATATAAAAGAAATTAAAATTTTATGTTTACAAACACACGTGAATGTTGTCCAATCATTGGACAATGGTGAATGGGTATTTTGTTAAAGCCACTGGACGTTAATACTTGTAGTGGCTTAATAATAATTACAATGTATATATTGTCCAGGACTATTAATGATCAGTAACTTGCAAATTGAAAGAAGAAAAAGTTTCGTGATTATTGCTTATCTTTTTCAAACCAAATTGATGCTATTTTTAAAGATTTTTCACAATAAGGTTGAACCTAACAGCAAATATTTTTTATTTTCCCCTTATTTTTAAAATTTCAAAAATTTTTGATCTGCTTAGCTGAAAATAATGTGTGATTTAATATTTGTAAAACCAAAAACGTTACTTTTTTACTCTAAAAATGTCCATAAGGCGATGTACTTTTTCTGCCATTGAGGCATTGGGCATAATTTCATGGAAATGAAGTTTTGCCCTTAAAAGTTCTTTTACTTTAGAATCTGATATTATTTTTGGTATAGTTATCTTTTTATATTAATATTATAAAATAATTAACAAGTAAATTATCATATATTATATCACGAGAACTATGAGTTTAATCGGTTAAACTAGGATCAATAGTTTTTTGTTTGGTTTTTGTTGGAAAATGTTGAATGCAAAATAATTTAATAAAATCACGAGACCGCGTAGCGGTCGAGGGGTTTTATTTTTAATTATTTTGCATGTAACTATTTTCCTAAAAGAAAAATCAAATAAAAAACTTACTGAGCATAGTTTGACAGATAAAATTTATAGGTTGAGTGATATACGTCTAGATTATTTCTCGAATTAAAGGAAACTATTTGACAATTCATAAAATCTGTCGTATGTATCAAAATTTATAAATATTTTTTTAAAGAAAATTCCATTAATTTAAGGTATGTAATAGGTAATAATTGATATTTCGTAAACTAGATAACTTATTTTTTATTGTTTTTTTAAAAAATCTTTGTTAAAACTTGTAAATAACACCATAAAATCGTAAACATAAAATCCAATATGGAGGCTAAAATTTAATCGCTGTTAAATAGTTCTAGTGATTTAATCGCTTATTTAAACGAAATTTATTCGAAAATTCAAGGTTTTTGATTGGTTCATATTATAATGAGGGAAATAATCAATAATAAATATGAATGTCAATTTGACAGTGTCAAAGTATTTAATTAAGGTCTACCATTTTTTAAATACTATACTTAATCAAACTGGCATAAGCTACCAACTTAATAAAAAAAACACTGGTCCAAATAAAAAAATTAACTGTAGGTACTCAAATTGGAATCCACTCCTAAGCTTGTGAAAGCATTTTCCATGGAATGTTTTTAATTTTTAATAAAATCTAAAAATTAAATATTAAATCGGCACTCTGTTTAATATTTATTCATTTAATGTATAATGGGTTGCATAACAAATTATCCTAATAGCGTAAATATTTTACATCTGGCAACATTGGAGATTTTCAAATTAGCTTAAATTATTACAAAATGCATTTGATAAACTTTTATTCTTAGTGTAAAGTTTATGTTTTTAATTAACAAAAAACTTCTTTGTTACTTAAGGGTCATTCCATGACAAACGATACTGAGGGTGAAAAAATAAGTTCTTTTCGCATTAAATCAGATGAATTTTCAAAGAAAACATTCCAAATTATAATGTGCGACAAAAAAAAACTAGAAGAAACGCGTATTTTTTAAGTTAATTAGTCTTTAAAATCTGTACTCAAGTGAAATGACCATTTTTCTCTAACTATTGAAAATAAGAAAAAAAAATGTCAATCTGTCAACCGTTTTGTCCCTTTTTGATTTGATTAGGTTATGTTAAAGGGGAATTCATTCTATTTATGTTAATTTGTTACCTACTTATTTTGTAGTACTTAGAGACTAATAAAACACCGATTTTGTCCATATAAAGTGTTTAATTTTTGTACTTGTAACACCCGAAACAAAGTAAAATTTTATAAAAAAAAAATAGTAAAACGTTATTTGTGACTGTGATTATGTTGTGGATGGTTAGTAAATATTATACTTTTGGAGGCCTGTAATTTTTATAAAGGTTTCCCTAAGATAATTCGCTAAATTTCAAATAAATGTAACAATGGTCAGGACATAGAGGCAGAATCGTGAAACACCCGAAACACTTTTCGACTTATAAAATCGTTATCCTATATGCTAAAGTGTACTAATTTACAATTTAGATATTTAGCGACTGCTTTGGTGCGGGTAGTTGTGTGCAAATTGATCGACGGCGAGGTATTTACAAACTTAACTTTATTACACTACATATACACAATATACAATACAATACACATATATACACAAACAGAATTATAATTTAAATGTGTTGTCACCCGGAGCCGATGTACTCAAAACGGGCAGTCAGTACGTTGTCTGGTGATAGACCAAGACATTTTCCAAGAGCCCTTTGGCCACCCACCCCTAATCGTGGTAGGGGATAGGTAGGACACATTTGGAAAAATCCAAGCGCATCTATAAAAGGGTAATAAAAATAAAATTAAATAAATTACTTTCGGTAAAGAAACCGGAGAGGTAAGTAAGCAATCGTAAAGGATGTTTACCGATGACAGGAAACTCCAATGTTTTACAAGGCTCCAGGTAACAAACACACGCTCTCTGCAATACACTATTTACAACCTACTACCTGAAAAGTTTAAACATAATTACTGACTAATAATAATTCGAAATACATAGCAATAAAAATAAAATAAATAAAAATTATTATAAAAATCACTTAAATTGTACTGACAGACAAGAGTGGGAAATCCAGTCCCCACATCACTCCCCTGCCAGTGATGAAGATCACGAGAGTCCGGATTGGAAGCGATCGGGAAACCGAACCTGTCTGCCCGATCTCGTCTGCCGATGAATTCTGGTGGTTGTATTTCCCGAACCAGCCGAGACGCGTGCTGGTGGGACGTCTGGTGCGATAAGCGCTGCTGGTGGCTCGGGTTGTGGGTCAGGCTTTAACGGAGCTGTGGTAATAACGTATCCGCCAAGTTGTTCTGGCTCTTGTTCGGGTTGTTCTATGTTGTCAAGTATCGTGTATGCCGGTTTTAGCCGATCAATTGAAATTGTAATGTTCTTGCCCTTGACGTTCACTATGAAGAACTTGTCGGAACGGCTAACCACTCGGTACGGCCCATCGTATGGATGTTGGAGAGGTCTTTTAGGGCCGTCGTGGCGGACGAAAACTTGCCCCGTTGTTGCAAGGTCTTTAAAGATAAAAATCTTCTTGTCACCATGACGGTTGATGACTGCTGGTCTTATGTCCTGCAATCGCTGCCTCAGCTGTTTAACGAAAGTCTCCGCGTTGATGTCGTCCTCCTCACGAATTCGGGGTGTCAACAGCTCTCCTGGAAGTCGCAACGGTTGGCCATATAGCATTTCTGCAGTGGTGGCATTTATATCGTCCTTCCACGCCGAACGGATCCCCAATAGCACCGCTGGAAGCGCCTCTGTCCAGCGGCTTTGATGACAACGGATGGCTGCTTTAAGTTGACGGTGAAAGCGCTCGACCATACCGTTGGATGCTGGGTGGTATGCGGTTGTCCGTATGTGAGTCGTACCTGTCAAGCGATTCAAATGCTTGAACAGGTTGGATTCGAATTGTCTTCCTTGGTCTGTCGTGACTCGCAGCGGGACGCCAAAACGAGCTATCCAGTGGTTGAAAAATGCTTCTGCAACAGTGGTTGCTTCCTGGTTGACAAGTGGGACGGCCTCGGGCCAGCGAGAGAATCTATCGATCATAGTCAAACAATAACGATACCCATCGCAGTGTGGCATGATGATCAGGTCAAGGTGTACGTGGTCGAGTCTTGCTGATGGTGGCGCAAACGAGCCCACTGGCGCTGAGACATGGCGAGATATCTTCGATCGCTGACATTCCACGCAGCTTCGTGCCCACTGACGACAGTCCGATTTAATTGAGGGCCAGACGTATCGTTGGGTCGCAAGCTTGCATGTAGCGTTTGCCCCGGGATGGGATAATTGGTGAACTGAGTTAAACGCCGCCTTCCGAAATGGTTTTGTAATATACGGTCGAGGCGCTGATGCTGACACATCGCACGTAATAAACTCAGTTGTGCCTGGAATCTGTACCGATCTCAACTTGAGGGATGAAAAGCCTTGTTGCAGATTCAGAAGCTCTTGATCTCTCTTCTGAGACTCTGCAAGTGCCTTGTAGTTGATGGCTGACTCCAGTTCTTCAATGCGTGACAATGCATCAGCCACCACATTATCCTGGCCCGACACATGACGAATGTCTGTGGAAAATTGTCCAATGAAGTCTAGATGGCGTTGTTGGCGTGGTGAACACTGTGTAGACTTCAACCGAAAGGCAAACGTAATCGGCTTGTGGTCTGTAAAGATCGCAAACTGCCGAGCCTCGACCATATGCCTAAAGTGTCTGACTGCCATGTAGATCGCCAGGAGTTCTCGGTCGTATGCACTATATTTGAGCTCTGGAACTGTCAGCTTCTTTGAAAAGAAATTCAGCGGCTGCCACCTGCCGTCTAACCACTGTTGCAGCACTGCGCCTACTGCAACGTCCGATGCGTCGGTGAAGATGGCTAGGGGTGCATCAGTCTTTGGATGTGCCAGTAAGGTAGCTCGTGCTAAGCTCTCCTTACACTTCGCGAACGCCGCGATTGCCTCTGGTGTCCACTTGACTGGTGTGCTGCCCTTGACGTTACCTTGTAGCAGATCGTTGAGCGGTGCCTGCGCGTTTGCAGCCTTGGGTATGAACCTCCTATAGAAGTTCACCATTCCTAAAAACTGCCGTAGCTTCTTAACACTTTGAGGCTGAGGAAATGACCGGATGACGTTGACTTTGTCTGGTAATGGCTGAGTTCCCGAACCTGAAACGAGATAGCCGAGAAACTGGACTTCAGATACTCCAAATATACACTTACCGGGGTTGATGACGACGCCGTACTCGTGGAGGCGCTCGAAAAGTACTCTGAGGTGCTCCAAGTGTTCTTCTTGCGATTCGGAGGCGATCATGATGTCGTCTATGTATGCATAGCAGAAGTCCAAGCCACGTAGAACTTCGTCGATAAACCGTTGAAAAGTTTGGGCTGCGTTACGAAGTCCAAACGTCATGTATGGAAATTCGTACAGTCCGAACGGTGTCGTAATGGCTGTCTTGGGGATGTCTTCTACGGCTACGGGTATCTGGTTGAAGGCACGTACTAAGTCGACAGTAGAAAAGATGATCTTTCCTTCTAACATTTGGGAGAAGTCTTGAATGTGGCGCACCGAGTATTGATCCGGTTGTGTCCGGTCATTGAGACCTCGGTAATCACCACAAGGTCGCCACTCATCTCCTTTCTTCGGCACCATGTGCAGCGGTGCTGCCCACGGGCTTTCTGAGGGCCTGGCGAGTCCAAGTCGGAGCATTGCTTCGAATTCTTTCTTGGCTGCTTTGAGTTTGTCTGGAGCAAGGCGCCTCGGTCTTAGTGCTACCGGAGGACCCGGTGTCGTGATGATGTGGTGCTTCGTCTGGTGTTTGACCGCTTTTGGAGCTCCGTCAGGCCGCGTTATTGACGTGAATTCCCGTAAAAGATCATGGTACTGCGAGGCGCCGGTGATGGTCCTGATGCTGGGAGCTTCACACTCAGTCACCTCTCCTTGCAGAGCGAGCCTGGTAACGGAGTCCAGTAGTCGCCCGCTTCTTAAATCGGGAAGTAGTCCATAGTGCGACAAAAAATCGGCTCCAATGATGGGCTTGGAAACGTCAGCGATTAAAAAGTTCCATGAAAAGTCCCGCCTCAGCCCCAGATTGAGGGTGAGCGTCGTTACGCCGTAAGTCGCGATGCGTGTACCGTTGGCTGCGGAAAGCTCGTAGCTGGACCTTCTACACGGCCCCCGATAAAACTTACGCGGGAATACGCACAGATCGGCACCAGTGTCTACTAAAAATCGGACATTTGATTCGCGATCGCGTACAAAAAGACGGCGAGATGTTGTCGGGCTGGTGTCGTTGGCCGCCATTAACGACTGCCCCTCTCGTTTTCCGGAGTCCAACTACATGGCTTGGTACATTTCTGTGCGTTCTCTGCAAAATTCCAGTGATACCAACACATGCCAGTTGGACGCGGGCCGCGCGATTCTGACCTGGAGCGGGACCGGCTTTGTGAGCGTCCGCGGTAAGGGGTTCGAGACCTTCCTCGGGAGTTTGAACCTTCGTAAATTTCACCGAGTAGCTTTTTAATCTCGGCCATTTCGAACCGAAGCTGTTGCACGTGCACTGCTTGTTGCACGTCGGCCATTACTGCTGATGGCGGTTTTGATGTCTCTGCGACGGTCGAGCGTGGTGGCAATAACCCGTATACCGTATCCGCAACTTCAGCCATATCGGTGATGGACTTGTCCTGCACGGTAACCATCGTAGGCTTTATCTTTTCCGGCAAGCCACGCATCCACAATGTTCTCAGCAAGTTGTCCGGTATTGCTGTCCCTGCGAGAGCTTGTAGTCGACGAAGAAACTGCGATGGCTTCTCGTCTCCCATTACTACGTTTTCAAGTAACTCGCGCGTCTTTTCGTCCTGAGATGAACTCAACCGTTTTACGAGGTTCTCCTTCAAATTTTTGTACGGTTCCTCGCCTAATGGTTGCATTAGGATATCGCGCACCTCGTTAGCGTAACGTGTTGGTATGGCCGATAACACACTCAGGTATTGTTTACGGCTGTCGTTTAGACCTAACGCTTCAAAATACCTCTCCGCAATCGAGAACCATAATTCCGGATCGGCTGCATTGAACTCCGGGAAACGTGGTTGTTTCGACATTGTGAGCGTGCTCGTGGCGGTTTCTTTCATTTGATCGACGTTGGTCATCTTGACACTTGCTTAATGTCTATACCTACACTATTATAACGGCTGTTAATCGGTCTACAATCACGCGCGCACTACCGACAAACTACCCGTGTCGTCCACCACTTAACACAATTATTGTCACTAAGTTTACAAAAAATTTTGCGAATACATAAAAAAAACTTACAGATCACGTCGGGGTCACCACTTTAGCGACTGCTTTGGTGCGGGTAGTTGTGTGCAAATTGATCGACGGCGAGGTATTTACAAACTTAACTTTATTACACTACATATACACAATATACAATACAATACACATATATACACAAACAGAATTATAATTTAAATGTGTTGTCACCCGGAGCCGATGTACTCAAAACGGGCAGTCAGTACGTTGTCTGGTGATAGACCAAGACATTTTCCAAGAGCCCTTTGGCCACCCACCCCTAATCGTGGTAGGGGATAGGTAGGACACATTTGGAAAAATCCAAGCGCATCTATAAAAGGGTAATAAAAATAAAATTAAATAAATTACTTTCGGTAAAGAAACCGGAGAGGTAAGTAAGCAATCGTAAAGGATGTTTACCGATGACAGGAAACTCCAATGTTTTACAAGGCTCCAGGTAACAAACACACGCTCTCTGCAATACACTATTTACAACCTACTACCTGAAAAGTTTAAACATAATTACTGACTAATAATAATTCGAAATACATAGCAATAAAAATAAAATAAATAAAAATTATTATAAAAATCACTTAAATTGTACTGACAGACAAGAGTGGGAAATCCAGTCCCCACAGATAGAACATCTAAAAACGTAGAGACTTTAATTGCTAAAATAATATTTTAAAATACATACAAATGTAACACCCGAAACGATGGAATGACCCTTAATGCAACCCCCAATTGCTTGTTTAATTTGAAACATTTTAGACACTCCAAATGAATATGAGCCAATAAATTTTGAAAAAGCCAAAACAGAAATGCGTTTTGCAGCTTTGCATGATGATGAGGGCTGTTCGTTTGTAAATATTAATACCGGGTTTCATAAACTGAAGGCCCAGGTTAAAGGAACACTTAATGTAAGTATACAATTTTTTTTATTATCTTCTCAAACAAAAAATTATTATTATTATTATTATTATTATTATTATTATTATTATTATTATATCGATACAAACCAAAATAGTGTTAAATATGGTTCGTTGGTCCGGTGTAAATTCAAATAATAAAATAGTGTAAATTGAACTCCTTTTCAGTGTTAAATATTATGTGTTTTTGGTCAAATTAAATCATACTACACAGAAAAAAAGGAAAAAAAAAGGAAACAGTTCCTTGACGCATTACTAGTTTATTAGCAGTGCACTGGTATTATTCCAGAAAATTGAACCTTCAACTCGCTAGAGATAATGTTTTTAGTGCGTTCCACCAACTTAAAATACTTCAAGTATTGACAGCTGTTTCCACCTATTTAAGGTCTCTTTAGTATCGAACAACTTGTAGTGTCACACCAAAGCAAAGGACTACCTGAGCTTATATACTTTTCATGTAAGTCAACAGAGGCGGGATTTAAGAACATCACTTGATCCACACCGCCTTTGCCGCGATCGGTACCCACTATGCAACCAGTAATGCACGGCAAATTGTTTTAATCGTTTTAACAGAGTGCTTTAGGTTGAAGTAACTGTTATTTTACAAACAACATATTTAGTAAACTGAACCATACAGCCGGTTGGTTTCACTAAAGTTTTCTGGGTTAATTTAACCAATTAAAAAAATAACTATCTGGTTTAGTACCGTCCAACTAATCTTTGTTTTTATTAACCTTCCCACAGTTGATTTAAATAAATACTTATGGGTCAACTAAATTAATATAGTTAAATGAACTATTCCTTTTTTTCTGGGTAGGTGCACTTCTCAAATATTTTTAGATAAACACCGTTTTGGTGTTTGCTGTATATAACATTTTCAACCATAATTCATTGTGTTTATATTAACACCACTTGGTATTGGATTTTGACACCATTTTAGGATTACTCTTTACACCACAGATATTTTAAACAGTGAACCAACAAAAGTATTTTGACAATTATTTTATTGGTTTAGGATGAGCTGAAAAAAATTGCAGAGAAAGAGGTAATAATAAATAAATCGGTGAACACAGCTTCAACAATTGGAGGTGCTAGTTCTGCTGAAGAAAACTGCTTAATTGGTAAGTAATGCTAACTTAACAATAACGTTTATCTACTACCATTGCATAATATTGTTTTTTTATACTTCGGGGGCATGTATACCAACATAATAAAGAAAATTTTATGACAACCGGACCCCCCAACCCCGCGAAATTTAACAATTCCCGTTATTTTCTGAACACACCTCGTAACAATATGGAAGACATGTCACGATAGTAAAACTCTTGGTTTAAATCCGGTAACTATTTAATTTTAGACTTGTCCGATGATGCTTCGATAATTATAGTAGAGGAAAACCCCACATGTATTTGCATTTTAAATCTCGAAAATATTGAATACGGTCTGATTCCGGAAATAATTTGTTCCAAATGCCACGTGCACATGCACACCCCATGCCTGGGTTTTATGAAAATTAACTACCAAAAGGACTATGTGCACATGTGCATCCGCTGCAATCCAAACAGAAAAATGAGGGACACTCTGACTCCAATTAGATTCCGGTGTGTATTTCTCACACGGTGCTGTTCTGAGAGGTGATTTTTGGACTTTCTGTGAAACCTAATTTTTTTATATATTTTTGTTAATTAGGTCATAACTAAAATTTTAGGAGCAAAATAAAAAAAATTTGACGGTTTGAATTGTTTTAATTGGCGGTTTATTAAAAATATTATGCACTCTTTCAATTATCCAATTAAAACTAGCGATTTAATTTAAATATTTAATATTTGCATAAGTAAAAAAAAAGGTTTTTACAATTTTTTTTATATATTTTACTGTTTTGTTGTAATAAACGTTCAAACTTTTAATCTAACCTTTGACGTATACATTTATGTTCCCTTAATTAATATATCCTTAAAGGTTGCCATGAAACTTAGATCTATTAAAAATTTATTTGACGTTTGAATTGTCATTTTCAGAATACGTATTCTATAATTTTTGTAAACAAAAATGAAAAATTGTAGTAAAAGTTACGAAGAAATTCATGAAATTTAACTAAGGACCGGTTTATTCATCTTTAGTAAAGTTTATCGGGCCGATAACTTTCATGTCTTGGCAATATCTAGTATCCAAAGAAATAATTATTCGTCAAATAAATCAAAAATGAATAAATCGGCCCTAAATAAAATGTGGCACCCTTAGAATTATTGTTTAATAAATGTATATACAGTATATACTATACATTTAACCTTAAATTAAAACTTTAAACGTGTATTACAACAAAAGATATAAAAAATGTATAGACTTTTTTTTAGGAAATTAACTAATCTTTAATCTGATTTAAAAAGTTATGATAATATTTAAATAAAATCGCAAGTTTTAATTGGAGAATTGAAAGTGTGCATACATATTTTTAATAAACATCCAATTAAAACAAAATTAACCGTCAATTTTTTTTTATTTTGCTCTTAAAATTTTAGTTATGACCTAATTAAGAAGAATATAAAAAAAATTAGGTTTCACAGAAAGTCCAAAAATCACCTCTCAGAACAGCACCGTGCTCAGTTTATTTGTGAAAACAAACCAAGACTATCCACATATTTTAGGTTAATCGTGTTTTTAATGTACGTAAAGAAAAAATACCCGGAAGAAATATTTTCTCTACTAACAGAGAAAGAAACCATACAATTAAGATCCAAATTAATCCAATATAAAATGTTGGAACCAGTTGGTAACAAGTAAGTTATTTATTTTTTATTACTGCGAGGTAGAAGGGACAGATTTTAATGATTTTTTTTTTAAGTTCAGTAAGCCATATTACTACTGTTCAGCCACCAATTTCTTACGCCACTTTCCCCTATATCGATTTTCCTAATCTTTTCTTTACAATAGCTGTGTTCTTTTTACCAAAAAGATAAAATTAAACAAATTGTGATTGGACAGTCAAAAATCTATGAGATACATAACCTCAATTATTCCTTATTCAAATGTCACAGTAAAACATTAAAAAATTGCCAAGGGCTTTTTTATTACGCTACTGAGCCTTTGAGAATAATTAATAATTTTTAAAATATTTTTTTAGATATAAAGTTGATGAAACAATGGTTAGAATTTGGTTGGAAAAGCTTTTTCCTGATTTTAATGAATCAGAAATTTTGCGTTAAAAATAATAATCGAGTTAAAAAATTTAATTTTCAACAATAATTGTAAAATAATTAATTAATTAATAATTATAATTATTATTAACATTGTAAATTTCGTGAAATTTTTTGTGTTAACAAAAAAATAGTTTAATTCTTCTATTAAAATAGTTTAAGGTGTTAAATTTGTTCTTGAGTTTATTTTGTTAAATAAAAATGAATCGGAAATTTTGCGTTAAAAATAATAATCGAGTTAAAAAATTTAATTTTCAACAATAATTGTAAAATAATTAATTAATTAATAATTATTATTAACATTGTAAATTTCGTGAAATTTTTTGTGTTAACAAAAAAAATAGTTTAATTCTTCTATTAAAATAGTTTAAGGTGTTAAATTTGTTCTTGAGTTTATTTTGTTAAATAAAAATGAATCGGAAATTTTGCGTTAAAAATAATAATCGAGTTAAAAAATTTAATTTTCAACAATAATTGTAAAATAATTAATTAATTAATAATTATTATTAACATTGTAAATTTCGTGAAATTTTTTGTGTTAACAAAAAAATAGTTTAATTCTTCTATTAAAATAGTAGTAAGGTGTTAAATTTGTTCTTGAGTTTATTTTGTTAAATAAAAATTAGTAAAACATATAATTGATTATTATTTTTTAGCACCATGATTAGAGGTGGGAGAACTATAATGTGCAGCTTAATGTAAAAAATTCTATATAAAATCATAGTGTAAAATGACCTTAATTATATGGTTGACATTGTCAGTGTTTTAGTTTTTAGGTTAGTTTTAACTTGTGACATTTTTTAAGGTAAACTTGGTGGCCTCAATACAGATTAATAATCGTTTTAAACGTTGTGTTTCTTACAGAGGCTCTTGTAAGCCTAAAAGTGCTAAGAACAACCGTTTTACTCTTTTTTTGGTAAAAATAATTCTTATTCTATCAGGGCTGTCATTAAACTGTCAAATTTCAATTTTAAGGCTAATTTACCATAGCCCACAAATTTGATAGTTTGATTACAGCCCTGGTAGAATAAGGTTTAAAATTGTTGTTCTTAGCACTTAAAGGCCTCATTTGAGGGTTACAACTGCCTCTGTAAGAAACACAACGTTAAAACGATTTTTAATCTGTATAAACATAAAAATGGCCGCCGTTAGATTTTGTGCAGTGTTGCAGTGATTTTTAGTATGCGCGAAACAAGATAAAACAGGGTTTGTTGTGTGCATTGTGATTCAAATATCTCTAATTAAATAATAATGTTAAAATTAATTATTATTAATATTAATAAAATTATAATTTTAACTTATTTAAAAAAGGAAAAGTAAAGTATATCACCATCAACCTTGTATTAACTTATTTATTAGGTCGCAAGTTAAAAAAAAATAACACAAAGAATAGGTAGGTTATTTGTAGGCTATTTGTCCCACACAAAAAAATTAACATTACTCCTGAACCTAAAAAACCAAAACACTGACAGTGACAGTGAAAAAATAAAATTAAGGTCATTTCACAATATGATACATTCATAGCCATGGAATTTCTACAAAAGTTTGTGTTGTCCCACCTCTAATCATTCTGTAGATATAATATATTATTATTATTATTAGCCTATAGGCTTGTTAAGTTTTCCGAATAAAAATCCGAACATAACACATTCTTCGACCATTTGATGTTTTTGCTTTTCATAAAAGTATTTTAAAATTAAATATTCGCACTCTAAATTTTGTTCATAACCTAGAAACCATTCTGGGAACAAACGGTGGATTAATTCGTAATTCTTGACAAATCTGTTATAACATCGTGACGTCACGATCTCTCTTCAAGGTCATCAAAGCGTTTTGAATCTTGCGGTTTTAAAAACGCTGTGGCGTTCTTAAAAATTGTTTGAGAAGCGTAGGAAAAAATTTTTTAACAACAAACTATATTCCAAATATGCTATAGAAAAATTAAAACGTTAAGTACGTTTGATCCTGATATTTCCAGTTCGATTACTTATTGTTACTTTATTATCTGCGATTATAATAGCAATTTATTAAATTGACTTGAGTTCTTTATGCTATTTTATCTATTTTGCAAAAATTCTATAAAAAAATTAATTTTATACCTTAAATTTAATTGGGTCGAATTTTACTTTAGATAGTTGGCATCACAGTCATTGGTTTGACAGTTAATGTCAAAATCGATTCGCCATGCCGTCCTTAATTTACTTATTTGCAATAAGCGGCTGTTAATGTTAAAGAAGAATAAAAGGATTTTCTTTGGTGTTAAACAAAATTTATTGCCAGAAAAGTCGCGTAAGTACTAGAAAAATCATAAAAATATGAGCAAAATCTGATGTTTCTTTGCAAAATAACAAGCTTATTAATCATTCTAATTTTTTCAAATAATTTTTAAATTAAAAATTATAATTTTATATACATATATGTAGAAAATAATATTTCTAGTGAATTAAAAATGTAGGTATTGATTTTTTAATAATTATTAATACCATAATTAATAATATGTATTTCTAACACCGTTGTAAGGTACAATAATTCTATCTTGAGGTCCTTGAAATAACACGATATCTTATCGTGATCTATCTATAAGACGTTCTTACTTAAGGTATGTATTATATTTGTTTACAATTCCCTCAAAGTTATTTACATTTAAGAATTACATATAATATTAAACACATAAAAAAGTTGTAAAAACCTATATAGAATTCGAAGAAATAATTAATTCATCCAAATCATTTGATAAATTATGTATTACTCCTATTTATTATTCAACATGTGTTTTTTAATTATAACCCAATGGGTTTTATGAAAAATATGTTTACTGTATTACGCAGTTAAGAACTAAAATTTTTAGTTTTATAAAAAAATATCCTTAAAATAAAACAAATATTAGACCCGAAAGTTTTAAACATTTTTGTTTGTATCATTGATATTTAAATATTTTTTTCTACTCCCACCTTTAAAACGCCCTTTATCGTACATGTTTCCATGACACTAAGTGACCTTTTAAATACACATTTACAAGTTGTGGCTTTAAGGCGCTTTAGTCACGGGCTGAAGTTAGCAACAGGTTTTTAGTCACGGGCTGAAGTTAGTTTTAAGTTAGTTGACAGTTGTCAAATGTCATACAATCGTTAAAATAAAGTGCCTTTCTTGTAAAATAATACTAAATGTGAAAATTATTTTATTATCTCAATACAAAAATTCAAAAGTAGGTATTAAATAGTTTCTCAACGCCAATATTTGAAAAGTTTATATGAACATTGTACTGACCTTTTAATTTCGCCGGAAGTAAACTATAACTTAAATTCGGACACGGACTCTACTGTAAAGTCCTCATAAAACATTTTCTTTACTTTCACTGTGAAAAACTGTCAATTTTCAAGAAATACATTTCGATTTATAACCTTTATAATTGTGTTTATAAAATAAAAAAAATGTGACGGTGACACACAGTTTCCCCTATTGTTTCATAGATGGCGCTCTATACAAATTTTTGATTTAAATCATTTTAAGATAATAATAAGTATTTGTCGTAGATAAAGTATACCTAGTATGCACCTCGTTTATAAACTTTTCTATACACTCATTAATTTAAACACTGCCTAAATTAAATTTGTGTATAAAATGGCGTTTATAAAACTTGATACATAATATACTATTCTTATAAGTAAGCAAAAATTAAAAAACAAAAAGCTTCGATAAATTTAATTAAATAGCATTGACATTTTTTTTTTAATAAAACACCCTGTATATTTTTGAATGCATGTATGTATATTACTTATTATTTTAATTTATACCAATATGCATACAAATTTTAAAATATCTTAACATATTTTAAATATGTGTGATAATATTTTATGGCTAAAAATATATACCTACAATTATTGTTTGTTATAAGTATAAAAGTGTTTATTAAGTGTCAAACTTTTCTTTTGATCCTAAAGGTAAGTTTTAACAGAAAACAATATTGCTTGTTTGCATAAGTTTTAAAACCTTTTTTAAACGGTATTACGTAAAAGTTATTAATTAAAAATGTGTAGAATGTGAAGGTCAGATTTGTTATAAATTAAAATACACTTGAGATATTGTAACAAAAAATTATAACATTAACGTATGTCAATATTTTTCTACCATTAAAGATGTAGAGAAGAACTTTTAACCTATTTAACATTTTTTGAATATTATTATTTTTTAATTGGGCATTTTTTGATGTCATATCTGATACACAACGATGTCAAGTTTCTTTAAACTTATTATTATATTTCAATTGTTAAAAAAATAAAAATTAAATATAAATAAATTTTGGAGAATGCCCCCTTAAAACACATACGATTAAATCAGTGAAACAGGTGTTTATATAAGTTGAGCAGACAGAATGCAATTTCAGGTCTGCTATTATATGGAATAAAAATTGGGTACCATACGGTAAAAAATAGTAGATGGGTCACCTTGTATGATCTTGGAAATTGGGTCCTTTGAACCCCAAATACCAAAATGGTCAACAAAAATCAGTAGCGTAGTTATTATTCACCAAAAACATAATTTTAGTTTAAGATATTATAACTTCTGTGACCTTCAGTAATAGATCCCTGTCCTAGGATTTTACAATAACTTTGACAGAATAGAAAAAACATTAATTTTTTCTATGTACCTACTTTATCTTGATGATTATAAGTCTATTTATTTAAATATTTAAGTGGCGTATAAATCAGTTAAAAATAATGTTATCTATTGTAAATTTTTATAAGTATCATCATGGTCCAATCTTTATGATAAAAAATCAGTGCTATTTATCCACTTTGTACAGTATAAATGAAAAATAAAAACTTGTTGTTAAGTAATAATTTAAATAACTACAAGATACAGGGTTTAAACCTTAACTTTAATAAATTCTTTATCTTGAAAACAACTTATTTTTTTAAATTTAAAAAACACTTTTACTTTAATTTTTTATGGCTAAATTATGATAATTATGATTCTACAAAAGTTGGAAAAATTGATGTCATCAGTCAATAGAGTAGGTAT